CTCTTTCTCCACCTTCTTCGGTAGACTGTTTAATCACTTACTGTTTCATTAGTTTCCCCGCCAGATGCCACCACTCTTCTTCGGTTGATACTTGTTAAATTCCATTACTAACTTCAGTAATTAGTTGCTTGATGAAGGCACAGGTTCTTTGCCTAGTCTTCTTGCGTGCTCTACACTAAATGTTTTTATTGTGGTTCACAATTCAGAAGAATAAAATATTAAACTTGGAGACAGTTTACCAATTTTTATACTATACTGATCAGTGACCTCGGATTTTTTTTTCCCCTATGTTACCATTACTCTAGTGCTATCTCTAATTATAAGTCCTATAACTGCCTTAACCTTTTCCATCATCTTCCTGTTTAGATATCTCCGTTACTTCTTCTGTGTACACCACATGATTAGATTACCTGGTCTTCTTGTAATCTTTCTTACCAGAGAATATTCACTCTGTCTTCGCCATCAGTAGAACGAAGAGAATGATTGTTTTTGCTAAACGTTACATTAAAATTATTGCTTTAACACGGGTTCCCTCTTTTTTTCTCAAGCTTAGTACCGTTGAAAACAAACTGATCGAGTTAACACGAACATGCAGTGTTTGTATATGTACATTTATTTATTTCAAGCTATTAGGTGAGATCCAAAATAAGTAAGTACAACGTGGAACCTGCGATTAAGCAATTAGCCCAATACTCGTTTGTTTGTGTCACTAATGACATGCAGGTTTATAAACTACAATTAGAAAGAACCTATTACTCGTATTAGTTTTCTAATGACGATAAAGGTAGACATCTCTTCAACAGCTCACATTTGATTCTGGTACAATATATTAGTTTTCATAAATTCACTTCTGATAGATGTAATTATTTTTTCATCAGTTTTTTTTTTAACCCTAAATCGGCTTTCGTTTCCATTTTTCGCTAATCCGTGTTGAATTTATATTTTTCTTCACTAGTTTACTCTTGAAGAACTTAGTTGTTCTTCATCAGTTTACTCCACACTAAACTAGACCTTTCTTTGTTACTTCACTCCTGATCAATGTAAACGTTATTTCTCATTTTACTCCCGACTAGCTTACTTTCCTTTACTTCATACGTGTTGAATGTAAACTTTCAATATCGTATCGCCTCGTATTTTATTAAAATGTACATTTTCATTAGTTGATTCCTGATGTAAGGTCGATCTTCTTTCATCCGTTTGCCGTGACTAAAGTTAACTTCATAAATTCAGCCCTGACTAAGGATAATTTATCTTTCTTCCTTTTCTCAAATAGATAATATTGTCAATAATCAATTTTATATTCGTGCGGGAAATACTCAAAATATATATTGTGGTTTTTAAATAACCCTTCACTGTTTTCTAGGGAGTAAAAAAAAAAAAAAAATTAAAGGTACAGAATTTTAGTAAAAGCGCGAGATTACATTTTGCGTTAGTTGTCTTGGCATATAATAAGTTGAAAAGCAAACTTTCATTTCTAAAAATACATTGCTTTACTTAATTGTTAGTATATAGTTAACCAACGTTTTGAACGATACGATAGTTTAGTTTTAACTCAACTTCTGGTGTGAATATTCCTGCTTTTAATATAATATTGGAGAAAATATTTTCATTTATTTATTTAAGTTCAAAAGAAAAAGAATTTTCAAACTTGACCTTTTTGTTGGAAACTGTTTTACTTTAAAAAAACTTGCTATTATTATACGTTCTCTTCCTCTTTTATTCCTTTTGTTTACTTGGAAGACGTGCACGTCAGTGCCTATGACATCAGACTTCCTGGTCTGCGTTAGATTTTTATCTCGTTTATTTTAAGAAACCTCGTGATTGTTCGCAGAACAACAGACTTGAGTTTTTATGAGTACATGCGTCTGTTCACAGAATTGAAGAACTCTGTTCTTATTTCTTTAGTTTTTTGTTTTTTTTCAAAGTACCAAGGTCGCCTTATTTTTTGGGCATCAGAACCGGGATTAATTTGACTGTAAAGTAAGTTGTCTTTGTGACAATAACTGTAATTTGTCTGGACAACTTGTGCTTTTTGTTTCTGAAAATGAACAAAATGTCCTCCTTCTATTTAGATCCTCCTTGTATTTTATTTACTCTAAGATGTCGCTTAATTCCAAAATATGACCTGTTCGTGAGCAGTGAATGTGAACTCCTCATGAACAATAAGTACGAATGCCCTCATAAGCAGTGAGTATGAACTCCTCATCAATAATAAACATGAACCTCTCACTTCAAAAGCATTGTATATAAATCCTTATAAGCAATAAGTATAAATCTCTTCATAAACAGTTAGTATGAATTTATCACAAGGAGTGAGTATGTATTGTTAATTAGTAGTTTTATTGTTTTTCTGTTGTCAGAAATATTTAAAGGTTGTTTGTGTTTTATAAACGGTAATTTTTTTTTTATTATTGAACTTTCCGTTGTATATTCTTTATATAAAATAAATGTGTTATTCAGTTAACACATGAACTTGGTTTCTTTGCCTTGTGCTAAGATTTATTTTGGTTATGTGTGATGAACGTATTTCTTCTATCTGGTGTAAATGTTATCAACTCTGTCAAGAGATGCCACCCCCACCCCCCAGTAGGTCAGCGGTAAGGTTACGAACTTGTAACACTAATCTAGGGTTGGATTCCCCGCGTAGACACCCTATTATAGCTTTTCACTAAAAACAAACAAGCTCTCAAGAGACAAAAGCTGGTGTAGGTCGACCAATCGAAAACCATAAGAGCTCATTAGTATGTAAAGAATGTTTGTTTATTTAGTTAAACATGAAGTAAACATAAAATCCCATAAACCATTGCACACCAAGCTGCATGAAAATCAAACTATAATTTGGTCAGTAGAACAAAGGCATTCAAAATAAATCGACAACTCTCTTCCAAACTGTTGGTAAAATCTAAATCAAACAATATCTCGTGTATAAATACACTTTAGTACACAACAAGCTTGTTTCATTTCAAACTTTCCTAACTCAACTCCCTATCACGTTTATAGTCCCTGATATCGTGGCTTTTAGTCATTATACTAAACGTCCTGGGACGTCGTGGTCTGGTGGTATTCATAATCAACGCCATGCCACGTTGTAGTCCCTGACAATGTGGCTTTTAGTTTCGTACTCAACGCTCTTTTGAGTCATAGTTCCTGATATTATATGACTGGTAGTATTCATACTCAGTGCTCTGAAACTTTGGAGTTTTTGATATCGTGGCTGAAAAAAAAAAAAAAAAGTGGGGGGGGGGGATAATCCCTTATCTTGATTTAGATACCTGTGGTGGGCACAGCACAGAAAGCGTATTGTGTAACTTTGGGCTTAACGACAAACAAACAAACCCTTATTAATTAATATTCTCTGTTAGCTTTTTTTTTTTCTAAGTATAGTAAATTATCAAATATAGATCGTTCAGTATTTGTTATACAATTCTATTAAATTATAAGTGAAAGTAAAGAAGAATGTATAACAATCTGTCAACCACACTATAGCTGACATATGTAGTGTCGCTCAAAAAAATTAGGTTAAGACAGTTTATTAGTATAAGCTTAATACTAAAATGATCGTTGTCTCCTTTTAGTTCCAGTAAAGTAAAGCATTTCTAATAGAATGTTTAGACAAAAGAGGCCGTCTTTGATTGGAAACTTCTGTGAACTGTATCTGCCTTGGAAGATTGGCGCGACGTTGGAGTTGCTGTCGTGATGAAGATATAATCTGCGCCAGCAGCTCCAAAAAAATCCAAAAACTTTTAAGGCAGATGCAGTTTACAGAATTTTCCAATCAAGAATGTAAGGCTATCCAATATCTGTAAAGTAAGATTAAATAAATAAGTTGCTAAATCATCAATTAATAGCTTTCTATTTTATTTTTTCGTTTGACTTGAGAAACCATGTTTTATAACTGTGATAGACTACCTAATCTCCACTAAGTTACAGTAGGAATGCGAGTTTTTGTAGATTATTGCCCCCCTCCACTCTCAGTTGGTGAAGTCTAAGATGTGGAACTCTGTGTAGTGTTTGTGTACTTATTTTAATGTGAAAAATAACGGCGGCAGTTTGACGAGCGTTGTCTTGGAGATAAGGGATCTTGGGTGGGTACAAATGATTAAATGTTGGTGGATGACGGTCAAGGACACCGTGAATGGCAACGCCTTACATCCCGTCTGGACATTAAAACAGATCTTGATGAAGGACTATTTTCATTCTCGGAAAGTGTACCTTAGTTCAGTAGTTTGCCTTTTATGAAGATCTAGATCTTGGGAAATTTTATTTCAAGAGCAAAACTGTAGAAGTACTTTAATTTTGCAGTCAAATTGAAGTTACGTCTTGGTGATCTATGTGATTCATCGTGCTTCTGTGCAACTGAACTGATTCCAAGAGAAATTTATTTACAACACATACTCTTATTTAACTTGTTCATCATCTTTTAGATATTAAGACAACTCACGTATCAAAGATCTTAACCTCTCTGCCCTGTGTGTGTGTGTGTGTGTATGAAGTGCTACACTTTGAATGACACATATCCACCAAAAGTAGTGACGCACTTTTAACATGGACTGACAATAAACGGTTTGTGGGGAATAGGAGGAAACAGAATTGAAGTGATATGATTGCGATAAGTATTAGTTCACAACTTGCCTACGCATAATAAACGGAAGTTGGAAAGCCACATCCGGTAAAAGGACACTTTTGAAGGACTGTTTCAATCATCCATGTCGTCGCCTGCTCAATATGATTCACTCGTTTAAATGTTGAGTTCTGGAAAAAAAAGTCATGCACGAATAATAATATTTTACGTTATTATGAAATCGAATTAATGTTATATTTTTCCTCTCTGGATGTCTCGTGTTTTATGAAGGGTTACTTAATGTTACATATGGTTAACAATTATTGTAATAAGAAAATTATGTAGGTGTAAAAATAATAATATAAAGTAAGATATACATGCTTTTAGTTCTAATTGATATGAATGATGCATACTCAAGTTTTATATAATTTGTTTACAGGTAGACAACATCAATGCTTGTCTTAATTTTCTTGACGAGCTGGGGGTTAATGTTGTAGACATTACTGCCCAAGGTAAGAAAAAAGTCATTCTTTTGAAGTAGCAAATACAAATAGTTTATTGAAAGAAAAAAATCAATGTTTAATGGTCATAGTTTGATTTGTAACAGTCTTGTATTACGGACTCTGTGATTGGTTAAATACCATGCAGCACCATGTAATATATCATCACGTAGTTTATTATCGTACAGTATCATATATCTTATGTTGTAGTATACAATTAAAACTATGATATAAAACAATTAAAGACGCTGCATAAATAAAAAAGGATCCCCAGGGTACAGGCTATAATGTGTCCTGGGTTTTGGAGGTGACTGCGGAAGTAGGACCCATATTGCGGTGGGAATAAACTGTCTATCTGTCTTAACCTCCGTTCGCCAGTCTTGCATGAAGAAATTCAT